CTTTGGGTGGTAAACACACAACACAATGTACAGACGATGTATTATAGATTGTACACCTGAAAGCTATGTAATTTTTTTTTTTAATCCTCACCTGAGGATATTTTTTCCACTGATACTTAGAGAGAGTGGAAGGGAGGGAGGGGTGAGAGAGTAAGACACACAGATTGGTGGCCTCCTGCACAGAGCCCCAGCTGGGGCCAGGGAATCAAACCTGTGCTCCTTCTGTGCGAGGTCCAACTGAGCCAAACCAGCCAAGGCAAAAGCTATATAATTTTATTAACTAAAGTCACTCTAATAAAGTCAATAAAAATTTAAATAATTTAAATTTTTTTCAAAGAAAAGATTTAGGAACAAGAAAGTAGACATAAAATAGAAAAATTCCAGAAAACATTATAACCAACATTGAAAATCCCTGGGTTACTAGTGAGATTGGCCCCAAGTGTCAATCAAAAGTAATGTGTTATCCTGGCCGGTGTGACTCAGTGAATTGAGCATGGCCTCATGGACTGAGAGGTCCCAGTTCGATTCCAGGTCAGGACACATGCCTGGGTTTCAGGCTCACTCCCCAGTGGGGGGCATGCAGGAGGCAGCCAATCGATGTATCTCTCTCACATCGATGTTTCTATCTCTCTCTCTCTCTAAAACAATCAGTAAAAACATATTTAAGAAAAAGAAGCCCTGGCTGGTTTGGCTTGGAGGTTAAAGCATAGGCCCGTGGACCAAAGAGTTGCGGGTTCAATTCCAGTCCAGGGCACATACCTTGATTGCAGTTCATTCCTGGCCCTGGTCGAGGTTGTGTGGGAGGTAGCCAATCAATGTGTCTCTCTCACATCAATAATATTCTCTCTCTCTCTCTCTCCCTCCCTCCCACTCTACTCTAACTAGAGATAAATGGAAAAATATCCTCAGGTGAGGATTAAAAAAAAAAAGTAAAACAACTCATCCAAAATCACATAACTAATAAATTAGAAGGTTATATTTCAAGCCTAGGTCTGACTCCAAAGCCCATGCTTTTGACCACTATGTTACTAAATTCAGATCACCTCTATGAAGGCCAACAGATTAAAAAAGATGTTCATAAAAAGAAGCAATTCTGTAGATAATGTATACTGTACACTGCCCAACACAAGAGGGCCTCATTCCCTGAAACCTGAATAAGAAAAGAAAATTAGGTCTTTTTCAATATCCTTTTTTTCTTTCTTTTTTTTATCCTCACCCAAGGACATTTTTCCATTCTTTGCTCAGATAGAGCGGGAGGGAGAGAGAGGAACGGAGAGAGAGAGAGAAACATCGATGAGTGGCTGCCACCCGCACGACCGACCAGGGCCGGGGACAAACTGCAACCAAGGTACATGTCCTTAGCGGGAACCGAACCCGGGTCTCTCAGGACCGCAGGCCGACGCTCTAACCGCTGAGCCAAACCGGCCAGGGCAATATCCTTTTTTTCTTAAAGAATTTTTAAAAAAATTTTAACTCCTTGATCCATGTTATTTTTCATATGTTCTGAATTTAGTAATTTGAAAATTAAATTAAGGTCTAGGGACTGTATCAAACAAAAAAGCTTCTGCACAGCAAAAGAAACAACCATCAAAACAGAAAGGCAACCCACTGTATGGGAGAGCATAACTGCCAATGATACATCTGATAAGGTGTTAATTTCCAAAATATATAGAGTACTCATACAACTCAACAAAAGGAAGAAAAAGAACCCAATTAAGAAATGGGCAGAGGAGCTAAACAGACACCTCTCCAAACAGGACATACAAATGGCCAAGAGACATATGAAGAAATGCTCAACATCACTAATCATCAGAGAGATGCAAATTAAAACAGCAATAAGGTACCACCTCACACCTGTCAGAATGGCTGCCATCAACAAATCATCAAACAACAAGTGTTGGTGAGGGTATGGAGAAAAGGGGACTCTAGTGTACTGCTGGTGGGAATGCAGACTGGTGCAGCCACTATGGAAAACAATATAGTGTTACCTCAAAAAATTAAAAATTGAATTGCTATTTGACCCAGTGATCCCACTTCTAGAAATATACCCTAAGAAGCCTGAAACACCAATCAGAAAGAATATATGTACCCCCATGTTCATAGCATTATTTACAATAGCTAAAATCTGGAAACAGCCCAAGTGTCCATCAGTAGACAAATGGATAAAAAAGCTGTGGTACACATACACAATGGAGTACTATGCAGCTGTAAGAAAGAAAGATCTCTTATCCTTTGAGATGTCATGGAGGGACCTGAAGAGTATTATCCTAAGTGAAATAAGCCAAGCAGAGAAAAACAAATATCACATGATCTCACTTATTTGTGGAATATAATGAACATAACAGTCTGAGGAACAGGGTAGACCCCAGAGACGGGGAAGTAGGGTACAGACTGACAACCCTCAGAAGAGGGGGTAGGGGTGAGAGATAAACCACAGAAAACTTATGTGCATGTATGCATAACCAACAGACACAGACAACAATGCTGGGGACGGAGGGGGGGGGGAGGGTGTTAATGTGGAAAAAAAGGAGAAACATCTGTAACAAAAATAAATTAATAAAAAAAAATTATTTAAGTCTAGGATAGCTGCAGAGAGAAAGACAAAAATCAATTAATATCAAATTATAAATCAAATTAATATCAAATTATAAAAATATATGAAAAATTTCAGAGTTGATTCAAACTACCTATTATGAGTTCTAACATGAGAACGTTACTTGGTAAAAACTGACTCTTGTCAAGTGTCACACGATTAATTTAAGAAAAAAAAGTAAAGGCTAGTAAGTAGACATATTATCTTCATATAATCATCCCAAATTTAAAGGGAAATTAATTTTTACAGTGTTATATTTTAGAATGAAACACATAATATTTGAGCCATTGTCCTAGTAACTTATAAGGTAATCAATGAAATTCAGTTACTCCCATAATGGCTAAAAACAAACATAAAAACCATTCAAGAATAACCACAAACACAGTCTTTATTCTCTACGGTACAAAAGACCAATCATAAGCCCATCTGTGTGAGACCTAGTTAATAAAAACATTATTTGAGAGGGATATAAAGAGAAGAAAAAGTCATTTATTAGAATGTGACAAGCTTTTAAATGTTTGCATTATCATTAACCAACTGCCTGGTTCTCTGGTTCACACACCTGCCACCTCCATCCAAAGCTATCACAGTAGCAAACTTGGAAGTAGGCTCATGTCTAAAACACTCGCACCCTCTTCTGACCCTTTGGGAGTACTGCATGCACACCAGTTACTGAGTGAAAAACTCTAATAAAGCCATAAATTAGTAACTCTGCAAGAAACATTCTCCAGATCATTCTTATATTTTAAATTCCCTAAATGAACCTAAATTTAGCTTAATAAAAATATAAAATAGCAGCTCTTCAACATAAAATTTGTGTCCATGAAAAGAAAATCAACTGTTTTCTTAACATTTTAAAAGTTTGTATATTAGCTGATTTTTATTACAGAAATTACCATGATGACAATAATTAACATACAAAGATCGTACTGTGTGTGCCAGACACTGATGTAAATAAATTAATTTAATCCTAACAACAACTTTAAAAGGTAGGCACTCATCTTACAAATGTGTAAAGTGAGGCACAATGAAGTTAAATAACATGCCCAGGATCATGCACCTGGTAGTAAGTGGTAAGACTAAAGTTCAAATTCAGTAACTGTGACTTTTATTAACTGTGAGACTTATTTATACCCAAAATATCCCTCTGAGGTAGAATGGAGTTGATATGATAACAAAATGAAACATGACTGAAATACAAAAAATTTAAGTTGTAAGGAAAATTACAAATAAGTCATCCAAATCTCTCATTTTCAACAAAGTCCCAAATGATACAAAAATATTACATGAAATAGTTTTGGTCACTTTCACATTCCTCCTCCCTTGAAGAGTCTGATCTTCTGGTGTCTATGATGTTTTTATGCATTATTTTTATTCCCCATTCCTTTTCTCCATCAAACTATGCCCTTATTTATCCATGATCTGTTTCTTTAAAAGAAAAGAAAAAAACTAATCCATACTGTATGCGTTATTTTTCTTCTACAAAGCAGAACTACTTACCTATTCCTATCTAAATTCCCTATTTCATTGAGATCTTTAAAAATATTTCCATTAAGACAGTAAATCCAAATAGCATAATCAATTCCTTCTCATTGCAAATATGATATTCTCATCTGCCTGGAAATATTTAGAGTATTCCTACTTGAAATGAGGGCTGAGACTAGATAATCTAAGATTTCTAAAAATATGCCTGGCTGATATGGCTCAGTGGTTGAATGTCGACCCATGCACCAAGAGGTCACCAGTTCAATTCCTGGTCAGGGCACATGCCCAGGTTATGGGCTCAATCCCCAGTGGGGCGTGTGCAGGAGGCAGCCAATCGATGTTCTCCTTCATCGATATTTCAATCTCTCTCTCTGTCTAAAATCAATAAAGAAAAACATTTTTTTTTAAGATTTCTAAAAATAACTTTATTTTCAAACAGGATATAAAGGCACATTATCTAATGATCTGTAGTTCAAAACAACATCTATCTAGAACATTCCTAGATTCCACAGTTCGCCTACTTAAAACTATTTATAATATTCAAAATTAAGAACATTTAATAATCCAAAAATGGCATAACCAAGCTCACTGCCATTCATGACCAGAAAATTCAGCATGGGTGAGAACAAAGGCTTTTCAGATTTTTTTTTACAACTATGTTTTCATCTCATAATATTAATTTTAAGTATACTTAGAGAAAGTCCAAAGTATTAAAAACATATAAACTGCACCAGTTTTAATATGCTAGATTCAAACACAAAATGGTTATATTTTAGTACAATAACTGATCACAATGCTAAAGAATTAATCATAACATTATTCTTATCTCCCAAATTTAAGCATAACAAAAACAGCACAGGTAATACATAATGAAAAGGTGCCAAGAAACTCCCTGCAAATCCCAGAACTCTTTTTAGCTTACCTCGGTCTGCAGAATGGCAGCCCTTTGTTCCTTAGCAGTCAAGGACTCCTTCAGCACTTCAATGTGTTGCTTACTGTCGGAGAACTGGTTCGTAAGTGTTTCTAGCTTTGTCTGCAGAGCTAGTAGTTCTGTGTCTTTTCTGGAGAGCTCCTGCTTCACCTGACCAATCTACAGAAGAAAACAAAACACTGTAAGAAAAAAAAGAAATGAAACAACCACCTCTGATCTGGATCTTTGACAAATCTAAGTCACAAGATATGAAACTAAAAGCAGCATTAATTTTATTACAGGACACAGTTCATCTCTTTGCATCACCCAATCTTAGACAACCCCACCACCACCACACACACACACAAAAAAAATAACACACAAAAAAAAAACCCACAAAGCTTATTTGACTAATAGGGAAATTTCCAATTTTCATTTATTGTCTCCTAAACATTTTTTGAAATCCCTTAGAAAAGAAACAGAAGGAGAAAAATCCCAACTCAATTAGATTACTATGATATAGTAGTAAGGATATAAACAACACTGTTCTAATAAAAGTTTCCATTTTATGAAGTCGGACCTTTTCAGAACATAAAGCAGAATTAGTGTAATGTAATTCAGAAGGAAAAAATAAACCTCCAAATATTGCTATTTAAGGTTAAAATGAAAAGCTGCCACTGCTGTGTTTTTTATTTTTTGTTAAGAGTTTTCTCATTCTCAAACAAAGTTTAGGTTAAATCCTTATCTTAAAAGCTACTCTGTATTATAAGGCATTATAAATAGGCGCTTTTTAAAAAATCCTGTAATTTTGATGAGTTGGGAGTACTGACCTAAAGAAAGATTCCATCTACAAAATTAAATCACCTACAATATGTCACTCCGACTAAATGGAGAAGACCTCAATAGAGAATGCATAAATCTCATTCTGTAAGAAACTATATGTGTAATTTGACAGAGTAGTCCATAAACCAATAAGTGCTATTCATTCGCCTATAAATTTCTCTCATCTTAACTTAGAAAACATTTATTTCTAACATCTCCTTTGCATTTCTGTTTCTAAAAAATTTGTATCAGTCTTTCATTCTAAATGTTAAGTCAAATTAGCAGAAATCAGATCTGCTTTTACATTATTTCTACTGCCTAGGAAAATAACAGTGCATTGAAAGACAGAGTAATTACTGGAAGTATAAATATGATAAGAAGTAAATAATTTCAGTATCACTGATGAAATGAAAGTACTTTTTATTTCTTTAAATTCAATATATGTAAAGTATTGTATTGTAATAACCTTAGATATAATGGAAAAACCTTTTCATAATAGTTTTCCATGAAGAAATATAAAATAAATTTTACTTTAATTAAAATTAGACTTTTAAAAAACCCTAAAAATAAAATTCTAATTTACTCTTCTGTTTTGCAAGACAATAAGCATTTTTCTCATATGCATGAAATCTCCATTTATAGATATAGTTTTCATTCAACAAACATTTGTGTAGTTACAGCATGCAAAGTATTTGAGGATAGTAAGGCCATCAGTGGAAGATAATAGTAAATGGCAACTATTTTCATCCTGTTGTATAGATGTGTACCAGGAGTTACCACATATTGTAATAGTAGAGTGTCTTCCATGACATCCCTTTACCAACAAACATCAAACATTAGTATTATCCTATCCCTGACACAGAAAATACACTGAAAACACACTGGCAGTGCGAAGGAATATTTGGGAGAAATGTTCAAAGTGTTATCACTTCCTCAGCTAAAGAACTATAGCTTAAAGATTACTCAAATTTCTAGCTACCTCTAATCATGTGATCAAAAAATATATAAAATCTAGTTTCCTATCATCTGCACTATTAATCTTCAAATAATGTTATAGTAACCATAAAGACTGAGAAAGGGATGAAAATATTCTAAGTGGAAAGCAGAATAAAGAAGCACAAATTCTGCTTAAAAGTTAGGAATACAAGGCTTTGTAGTTACACATGAGGATGACTGTGTCTTTGAGTAATTATTTTACTTCTCTAAGCCTTGGTTTCCTAATCAGTAATAAGGAGAAAGTAAACCAGTGCCACTGTGTTGTTTAGAGATCAAATAAAAAAATGTACAGTATGTGATTAGCCTGTTGTTTGACACTAAAACAATGACTTAATAGTAGCTGAGAAAAAAAAAGAAAAAAGCTATGGATCAAACTCTCCTCTAGACAATACATGCATGATTACCACAAACCAAATTAGGCCCTTTCAGACAAAATGTTTCACTTCTCTACCTATCCTATAAAGTGGTTCATAAACAGCAAACACACCGAATTAGCATAAGGGTTTTTTTTAATGCTGCATTCCAGTCTTATCCTACAATTATTTTCAGAAGGGTATTTTCTGACACTGGTGTGAAAACGTGTGCACAGCCCAGTAGAGTGCAGCAGAGCGAAGAGTTTACCAGCACAGCTTGTGGAACCAGATTACTCATGTAAAAATCAAACTCCGCCTCTTACAAGCTGTGTTTCCTAAGCACCACTCTGTTACTTCAGTTTCCTCATCTATAAACTGCAGATGATAACAGACCTACCTTAATAGGTTATAAAATGCTTATAATAAGTGCTCAAGTATTTTGAAATGAATTTTAAGTTCTTTAGAAAGAAAGACTGAACTAGATTTGGAGACTTTAAATGAGTTTCATGCTAATTCTAATGTATTAGATAACTCTAAATAAGCTCATCATTTTCTATATATCTGTTCTAAAGTAACATTTGTTGCAAAATCACCATATGGAAACTTAAACGATGATGTCTACATATGAAGGTAAAGCACTTTACTCAAGAATTTCAAATTCGAATAAATACTAGGTAATGAACCTAGAACATCTGCATATACCTAAGAAGAAAAAGAGACTATTATTCATGTAAACTATCAAGTCTCTAGTAATAGGAAAGGAGTTGAGAAAAACCAAGCTTTGAAGTACCATCCACACAGTGACAACAGCAACAATAAAGAACCAGGTACAGGGCTTCCAGGGCACAGGAGGGCTCAATGCACACAGTGACATATGGTTCAAACTACTGAACAAGAGTTGGTTAAAGAGCAGAGCAGGCTGGTTAGTGCCAGTACTGGGCAAAGCTGCCAACCATAGAAAATGAAAGTATAAGCCACCCAGAAGCCAGAGCTAGCAGGGTCCCACTGTGGGATCACTGCACACGAAAAGGTAAATCTTACGGCAAAGACCTCAGCCTGAAGACCAGCCGCTCTCTTTTTCAGCTCCTCCCCTTGAGCCTCTTTCGAACTTAGTTCCTCCTTCAGTTGCTCTACCTGTCACGACATTGTTATTCTTTTTTATTTATGTGTCAACTTAGGTTTTATCTGCTTTTGAGCCAGAGCAGTAACTGGAAATAACAATAACATAATACAATCAAATCTGTTTCCCTAATTCCTCTTCAAAGGACCCCAGATGGTTTCTCTATTTTCACAGGGTTTTAAAATTAATTGGAATGTGCTCATCCACAAATCGGAAGCACAGGATATTTTGTTCTCAAATTAGGGTGAAAAATCCACACTAACAGAAAGTTTGGATATATGAATTTTTAAGTTTCAAATTAACATGAAATTGGCAGTAGTCATGTCATTGACAACAGATTCTTAATATAATAGATGAATATTCTAAAGATTTATATGCCAGGTATGGTACCATAATAAGAACTCAGAAACTGGAAGGGGAGTTATAATTGGGTCATTCCCTTACAATTTTCACTTCTGAGAATTCGGGGAACTAATACAATTGAGATATGGCAAGAGGGAGGAAGATACTTATTTTCTATACATATTTTATAATTACAATTATGATTTTTAATTATACCACAACAAACTGGATAAACTGACAACTGTGATAAACTAAATCCTCCAATGTGCCTAAATGGTTTATAGAAAGAGAATCACACTAAATGGTTTTAGATCTAAGGAAAGAATGTTGTAACTGAATTTTTAAGTATAGACTAATATGCCTCAGTGCTACCTATCTTACTTTACATATACCTGAGCATACATGGAATACAACCTGATACAAATGTATCTTCTCCAAGGGATAGAGCAAACGGCTTTCCTTTATGGAACTGTATTTGAAAGAAAAACAAGCTTTTATTTAAGCCATATCTAGGGGAAAGGCGGGGAAGGGTTCAGCCTCTTAAGGTTTTGACTTTTAAAATAATTCACAAGCCCTGGCCTGTTTGGCTTAGCGGTTAGAGCGTTGGCCTGCGGACCAGGGAGTCCTGGGTTCCCATTAAGGGCACATACATTGGTTGCAGTTTGTCCCCAACCCTGGTTGGGGTCGTGTGGGTGGCAACCACTCGATGTGTCCCTCTCACATCGATGTTTCTCTCTCTCTCTCTCTTCCCCCCTCTCTCCCTCCCGCTCTATCTGAAGATGAATGCAAAAATGTCCTCAGGTGAGGATTAAAAAAATAAATAAAATAAAATACTTCACAAGAGGTAGAGAATTAGATGTCTCACATTGTGAGAAAACTTTATCTGGATGTAATTCTACTAAATCATCTCAGCAATACTGATAGACATGAAATGTTAAACTGTAATAATACATACTTTTGCCTCATACAGGTAATTTTGTATTAAGTGAAACCTTTAAATAACTAGAGAACATCTGTAATTCTGACTTTAATTCTAGGCAAGTTCACTTGAAAGAATTATTTTAGAAGTATTCTTCCCTGAAGTCTGGTAAAACAGTGTTAAATTCTTCAGCATCACTAAGGACACAGGCATAAGTATCAATTTTTCAAACCCTTTTTTAAAATTACAATATCACACACCATTACCTTATTTTTCATGAATTTAGAATGACTCCGATAGACCTCCATTTGCTTCATTTCTTCCTCCCGTTCTTCAGTGCTCAAAGCCCCATTCGATTTCAACATCTGAATTTCCTCTTCCAAGTCTCGGAGCCCACGCTCCATAGAGGAAATTTTTGAATCCTGAGGACAATGAAAGATTTAGATATTAAAGTATTCACAAAAAATCTTAGAAATGTTAAATTTAATAAAAATAAACATGCAGGAAAATTGCTGTCTAGCAGTTGATACCTTACTTCTAAAATATATCTTTTATGGTAATTTGGGTGGCAGGAGGAGGACTCCTGTCTGTAATGATTTTTCCTCTATCTCTTCCTCTCATCTGCACCCTTACTTTTTTTTTTCACACAAATGGATAAGTTCATTATATTTTTCTGTGAATGTCAGACAGGATTTTAATAATTAATAGTGTCAATATTTTTAATTCCAAATATTAATAGCATACATATTTTTAGCTTCTTTTTTTTCTTCTTGTTGTCTTAACAAATTTATTTTCACTGCAGAAAACTGTTCTTTATAAATTATTCTTATGAATATTTGCAGTTATCCAGAATATGGGCATCTTACAAGTAGGAATAAACATGCCATGCAGGTCATTTGCCAACTAATCTGTTGTTTCTTGAGGAAATTTTCTACAATGTAATTGCTTGTCTGCTGGCAAAATGGGCAAACGTGGAGTTTAATTTGGCAATTTCTCAACAAGACGTACTTTTGAAATTTTGGGGAAAAGTTTTACTTACTTATAATGGAAGAATTCCTTCTAGAAGGTATAAACATTATAAAAAGCACATTTTAGATTCTAACTTATTTATACACTTCTGAGTATAAACACTGAGGTAACTCAAAATCAATACCTATGAATCTCAACCATCATCTGCACCCTTTCCATTAAAGGTAAGAGAATTAACTAAAGAAGTAAAAGCAATGGAAACCTGGTTAAATTTTCTTTGTACATTATGGTCAACAAATATCTAGTGAAATTTTTTGTAATATTAACAATAAAACCTTTTCTAGACATAATATCTTATCATTTTACTTGGTGATCCCCTAAAAGGTTTATCTCTGCCTACAAAGGAGGGGGACAATATGTAAGAGGGTTTCAAAGATTTATACAATAATGTTATAACTATATATATAATAATTATGATTTTATAACATATCCTTACAGAAAAACAAAGCTAAATAATTACATTAAGATTTAGTTTATCATACTCGTATTATCATACTCGTAATCTTTTTCTCTATACTGCTCCATATATATAAAATATTTTATAATAATCTTTTAATAATCACTGTCCTTGTAAATCATTACCACCACAATATCACCTCCTAGAATATCCTTTTATATTCAATGTCTTGGTTTTGTTTGTGACAATATCTAGTGATTACTTTAGATGTCATCAGTTACAGAAAGATCACGTTAGATGTTGTCAGTGACAAAAACTCCTACGAAGAATGAATACATTTATATCAATAGTTGCATATGCTTAGTCACTTAAGAAATAAATATCTTAGAGATCATCAATTAAGTATTGCTTTATTTTATTTGGAATTTTAGAGAAACCGTTCCATTAGAAAATAATTTTGAGAATGAGAATGACCTCCTGTTGCACTTCAGCTCAAGGATTGCTAGCCTACGTTCCTTGTTATCATAATTCTTAGAGCATGCAGATAAAAGTTAAAGGATTTGGCATGAGACAACTATAATGAGCTATTTTTAGGTTCAGGGGAAAGGAGGAGCATGTATTCTTCTGTCTTGCCGTTATATTACCTTTAAAATTATCCCAACAGAGAAAGACAAACATCATATGATCTCACTTATTTGTGGAATATAATGAACATAACAGTCTGAGGAATGGGGTAGTCCCAGAGACGTGGAAGTGGGGTACAGACCGACAATCCTCAGAAGAGGGGTTGGGGGAGAGATAAACCACAGAACTTATATGCATGTGTGCATGAACAATGGACATGGACAACAAAGCTGGGGACAGGACGGGGAGGGAAGGGAAGGGGGGAATCAATGGGGGGAAAAAGAAAAAATCTGTAACAAAAATAAATTAATTAATTAAATTCAATAAAGGAAAAAAAAATTTTAAAAAATTATCCCAACAAAAAATTTCCTTTACAAATCTATTCATATTAAACTTATATTTACTCCAAAACTAAATGTATTAATCAGTATAATCAAAGACATTCTAAACCTAAGCCAGGATTTTTATTTACTCATTTAAAATTATTGGGTGTCAGGAAACTACTTCAAATGCACTATGAAAATTCACTTTTGAGATTACTAAAAATCATCCTGGAAATATCAGGATGCAGTCCCTCAAGAATGACTAAATTACTAGGCATATGCATGTGACTGACCTGCAAATGAAAGAAAGTGAAATGTGGTTCACCTCTGACACTGGCGTGGGTGGCAATGAAAGGGGGCTAGCAGAAGGAGGGAGTGTATTTCTAGCACCACTGGTGCTCTACACAAGGCAAAATAGCCGTCAGTTAATAACTCCAGCTCTGCACATCACACAGATTCCACCTCTACAAAGCCCCTACAAGGAGCTTGCCAAGAAACATCCATCTTCTACCCTAACCCCAATACAGATAGAGAGGCAGCTCTTTACCAAATCAGCACCCCCACTATCAAATCATGCAGCATAAAAGCTTCTCCCCAGAAAGGGACCACAACTGCAGCCCTGAAAGCCATAGGCATGTGCTGACTGTCCAGAAAAAGAACCTGCCAGGCTACTCTCTGAAATCAATGCAGAAAATTAATGCCTGATATGCTCAACTAGTTCCAGCACCAACTCAACCAGTGCTCAGGCTGGGTTTATTTGAGGTTTCTTACTCCTAGAATGCATAATAATTAAGTAAATAAATTCCTAATCATCATACTATTATATACTTCCCCAGCCCTGGGTCTTCCAGCATTAATCAGTCAATCCCACTAAGCCTACTAAAATCCTATTCCTTATTAAATTTCCAATTCCTCAATTTTTTTTCCAAAGTTGTCTCCCTATTCTAAATAAAACATGGCTTTCCCAAAAGATATAACTTCCCCAAACTCTCTCCAGTGAAGATCACTAATCCGCCAGCACCACAAAGGATCAAGGGAAAAGTGTGAGCATCCTGGTTCCTCAACGCTGTTCCCCTTTATTTTGAGCTCATTATTTCAAGCTCCTATTCACTCCACCTTCTCACTACTGCCATCAAAAGACTTTCCAGTCACTTGTGCCCATTTTTTTAAATCCTCACTTGAGGATATGTTTTTATTGATTGTAGAGAGAGAGGAAGGGAGGGAAGGAGGGAGAAAGAGGAATGGGAGGGGCAGGGAAAGAAAGAAACATCAATGTGAGAAACATCGATCAGATGCCTCTCATATGCGCCCCGAACAGGAATCAAACCCGAAATGCTTTTGGTGTACAGGACAAAGCTCCAACCAACTGAGCCACCTGACCACGGCCACTCCTACCCATTTTAAGAAGTCTTTGGCACCAATCTTCCCTTCAAATCCCTCTTGCCACCATCCTAGAATTTCAATGTCTGAATTCTTTGATGTCCTTAATTCCAACGACCACATCCTCTTGTCCATTTTAGCTATCCAGTTTATAGGACTACACTCTGGATCCTATTGTCACCCAGGACTCTTTTCCCAGGCCTGTCACACCATGACTCTCATCTGCGGTTCTTCAATGTCACAAAGATCTCCACTTCCCTAACTTTTACATCATCTCCCACCAGTGAGTCCATTCTAAATTCTCTTTGTTCCCATCTAGGCTACGTTCCTGGGCTGATATCCAAATTACTCTTTCAACATCACTCTCAAATCATCTGCATCCCAACAATTCTGTTATATCTATCCAACAAAATTCTAACCCTAGAGTCATGCAGTAATTCTTCCCTGCTCCTCCACTGCTAAAGGAAAAGGGGGGGGGGGGAGAGAGAGAGAGAGAGAGAGAGAGAGAGAGAGAGAGAAGCATGAGAGGGAAGAGGAGTAAAGAGGGAACAAATGAAAAGAAGGAAGAGGCAGGAGATGGGAGGAGGAAGAGGATAAGAGGGAGAAGAAAACGAAGAGGGAAGGAAGGAGAAGGAGAAAAATTACATCATCTTGAAGATGGTTGTTGAACTCTTTCATTGTCTATCAGTTATTTTTCTTTCCCATTTCCCCCAAAGACTATTCTAGATCTTCATAATTCTCTCAAGCTTATCACACTCTCAGCAACTTAACTATTTCAGTTGTGATTTCAGCATAATGTCCACCTGCCACCACTGAGCCAGCAGAATCTCAGAACTTCTTACTTCTTAGCAGAATGACTAAAGGGTAATAGGACTTAAATAGATCCACTACCAATTAATACCATTACACTTTCCCATTTTGTCAAAAGGTGAACAAAATAATTTTGTGAATGTAGGTACATTCATGTCTTATGTTTTAACAAGAATCGGGAAATAACGTATAAATAACCCTGTGGGAAATGTGAACATTCAATTAAACTTTTCTAAAGGTTCTTTGCAATATTATGTTCAAAACGACTAATTGTCTAACTATAAAGAATCCAAAATCTACTAATTTGGAAGTGGTAAATCCTTTCCCCATGAGAATAAAGATGTACATGATATAAACAAGGTTTTAAGAGGAAATCATACAAAGTAAGAGAACAGTTCTTCTAATAACTATACTTGAGAAGCATCTATTTATAGATAACTTTATATACCAGAGACTAAATACTCTTATCATATCAACAAATATTAAATGAAGGGCGACAATGCAAAACACAATGTCAAACTTTTTCAGGGATATGAAGAAGTTAAAGAATACGAGAGAGAAAGAGAGAAGTGTCCCTATCCATAAGAATCTTTCAACTTTATTAATAACCTGTTAATTAAAAAAATAGTAATAATAGCAGCAGCAGCTTACATTGATTGAATATTTACTATGTGCCAGGTCCTCTTCAAAGTGTTTTACTATTTTTACTAATTAAACCTCAAAACAACCTACAGAATGAGTATTATTATTATCACCTTTTATCGATTAAGATATTGTGTAGAAAGGTTAGGTAACTTGCTGTGTCATACAGTTGACCAAGTATAGCCAGATTTTGAATCCAGGGAATTTAACTCAGAAGACAAGCTCTTCATTGCCAACAGCCATACCGCACAGCCTAAAAACTGCTAACTACTCATTAACATAAAGCATTTATTTACAAAGTATGACCATGGAACCCTGAGGGTGTCACCCAGACCCTTTCAGTAAGTCTGCACAGTCAAAACTATTTTCTTAATAATACTATCACTTGCCCTGGCCAGTTTGGCTTAGCGGTTAAAGTGTAGGCCCGCGGACCAGAGAGGCTCAGGTTCGGTTCCTGCTGAGGGCATGTACCTCAGTTGCAGTTTGTCCCTGAACTCGGTTGGGATCATGTGGGTGGTAACCAGTCGATGTCTCTCTCTCACGTTGATGTCTCTCTCTCACGTCGATGTTTCTCTCTCTCTCTTCTTCTCTCTCTCCCTCCTGCTCTATCTGAAGATAAATGTACAAATGTCCTCGGGTGAGGATAAAAAATAATAATAATACTATCACTTTATTTGCCTTTTCTACTCTGTAACATTGTCACTCAAGGTATAATAAAAGCAATGGTGAGCAAAACTGCTAGCGCCTTAGGACAATAGTCAGTAGCACCAAACCATAGCACTCATTGTATTCTTTAGTGTCAGGCACTCACAGAAAAAGAAGAGAGAAAAAAATTTTTAAAGACTGCTTAACTTAATGTCCTGTTACTTCATTACTTTCAATAAATCTCAACCCTTGAGTACACATCTTTTTTAACATTCTATGTGATAAAATGGGAAGGAGCTAGGTATTTCTGCTGCAAGGAGTAGGATGATTGTTCCCAGGAACCACACTTGTGTGCGTCTTTGAGTTGCAAGCTGAATTAGCGACTTTTTTTTTATCCTCACCTGAGGACACTTTTCTATTTTTTGTTCAGATAGAGTGGGAGGGAGAGAGTGGAAGAGAGAGAGAGAGAGAGAGAAAGAAACATCAACGTGAAAGGGACACATCGAGTGGCTGCCACCAGCCCAACCAACCAGGGCTGGTAACAAACTGCAACTGAGGTACATGCCCTTAGCGGGAACTGAACCTGGGTCTCTCAGGACCGCAGGCCGATGCTCAAACTGCTGAGCCAAACCGGCCAAGGCTGAATTAGCTACTTTTTTCATAGAAAACTATTTTTACTGGAAAGAATAACAGACAAACTATGGTTACTCAGACTTGATATCTGGCATATATTTTCTTTAAAATTAAGGAAATGGGCCTATCATTTTAAGAGTATAAAGGGGTCCTGAGAGCAAAGGTTTGAGAATAGCTGACTTAAAGAAATTCTGGACAACCCTTTTGGTCCAATTTGAGTTATATGCTACAATAAAAGGAACTGAGACGGATGTTCTTTTAAAGTGTCATTTTCATTAAGTCTTACTATTTATTTTTAATTTACAAAATGAGTAAATTATTATTACATACCACTTTCTAAAATTCATACATGACAGTGTCTATCACTTACATGTGTAAAATAACTCATAAGATTATTAGATTCTCACTTACCTTCATTTCAATAACAGTTTGCAGAGCTTTTGTCTTGGCAGAATCAGGGGCATTCTCAAATCTTCGATGCATCTCCTACACAAGAGAAGAAAAAAAAAAAAAAGAAAGAAAGAAAATAAGTGTCCTCTTTTTCATTCTCATTTTAAAAAGGGGGGAAGAAGGAGTAATTGTGTACAAAAGATGATCACTCGAGCCTAGTAAGACACACTGATCCTTCTGTCTCCCTGACCTTTCTCTGTGAAGCAAGTAACCCACAGACTGCAATTCAGGTTAACAGAGCATAGGAGGGTCCCAATCTCTGAACTTTAAAACCAGTCACACAGACCGTAGCTACTATAACAGTTGAAACTAGCATATCCCTAGGTTGTCAATCTCCTACATGACTGAACGATATGTAATCAGAACTCTAAATGATCCAAAAAGGGTATAAGAAATCTTCCCTTTTTAAAAGGAGAAAAAAAAAAAAAAAAAACAGTCACAATCAGTCTGCAATGCACAAGCATTCCTGCTAACAACATCCTTTCCATGGCATCCACCCCCTAGCTACCTGTAATGAAAACCTCTCTCCCGTGGGGGCTGCAAGTAGAAAGAAAAAGACAAGACTGCTGAACAAGTTTCCTAAGTAGTTCATGTTTAGAAAATGTCAGAAAAACATCGCTATTTTTTAATCCAAATTTTAGTGAGTCAGGTTCTAGAGGAAAGAAGGCAATGGTAGTGATATCATAATTAGGGTCTCCAAGGATCACCCTGAAGTTACCAGAACATCTTGGGATATTTTCTCATTACATTTTGTAAACGTCTCTGAGTTAGTCACTACTTCCAAAGTATTCTGAGAGAGACTCTAGTTACCACAAAGAATATAGAGATAAATACTTTCCAAATGAGAGTGCTTAGCCATAATAAAAAGAAATGTATAATATTTTAATTATACCTTTCACTAATTTATTCATTCTTGCCTGACCAGGAAGAATGGTTTGAGAGAATTAGAAAATAGAACTACAAACTTCATTGAGTTATCTATTCCTAAAAGAGTAATCCTAATGAAATGACAAAAGTTCTAAATTATAAACTGTCAACAGTTTAAACATCCAGTCATTTCTGAACATCCACACCCGCCTCTGGCTGCTACTAATATGGCGCAAACCACTATTAACATACACCACCCTTTCTGCTACCTCGCTCCCTAATTCAAGCCTTAAATATTCAACTAGGTATCCCACTTATAACAAACACCTCAAACTCTACATGAACTCTTGGTGGTGCCCCCAAAACCTGCTCCATCCTTCCAGTTACTCAGGTCAAAAACCAGTGAGTCTTCTTAACGCCTTCCTTCTTCTTTCAAGCCACAACCAGTCAGGAAATCCAGTTAACTCTCTCTTCAAAACATATCCAAAATCCAAGCACTTCTTGACATCTCCACTGCAACCACCTGGAGTGAGCCACTAACCAAAATATACCTTTTAATCCAACAACTTCCTAATCAGGCTCCCCACTCTTTATCTTGTTTCCCCAGTCTATTCTCAACAAAGCACTCAAGAGTGCCACTTTTCAACATAAATTTGATCTTGTTACTCCTTTGATCAAAACCCTGTCATGCCTCCCCATCTGACTCAAAGTAGAGCCACAGTCCTTTAGAAGCCTACAAGACCCCACCTCTTACCACTCTTCCCCCAGTCACTAGGCTCCAGCCACACTAGACTCCTTGCTGTTCCTCAAACATGCTAGGCATTCTCCAGTTCCTTAGGACCTTTACACCAGATGTCCTTGTTGCCTAAACTCTCTTTCTCTCCTTAAAGTCTTGGTTCAAATATCTCTTCTATGTTATTAGGTTTATTAGTTGTGATAATCACATTGTGGTTATAAAAGAAAATGTCCTTATATTTCAGAGATGTGCACTCAAGTCTATAGAGGTAAGTTACATCCTGTTAATAATTTGTTTTAAAATCTTTGGTGAAGAAAAGAAAAAAATGGATACATGAAGCAAGTGTGGCAAAATTTTGGAATATCTGAGTGATAAATATATTGAGATTCATTATACTATTCTCACTACTTTTATGTTCGCTTGAAATCTTCCATAAGCAAATTGTTTAACATTCTCAGTGTAACCTCCCCTATTTTAAAACTTAAAATTAACAGAACCCACATATCCTTTTCCCTTTACCTTACTCTACTTTTCCTTTTTGTACAGCACTTATCCTCAATCATATTATGTAATTTGTTATGCATTATGTTTATTATCTATTTCCCTCTAGATTCTAGAAGAATGTAAGCTCTGCCAGGGCAGGGTCTTTGTTTCATTCACTGATGAATCCAAAGTGCCTACAACAGTATCTGGTACACTGGAAAGATCCAATCATTATCCTTTCAAGGAAAATCTGCAAAATCTGTGTCTCTAGCCCTGTAGTAGATGGACATCTATCACTCTCTTGCTATGTGCTATTTGATCTCCTTTCCACGTTTGGGACTCCATATTTTAAGGCAGAGTCTACCTCCCACAACAGAAGCTAAAAACGCCACATTTTTGTTTTCCCAGCATTTCTTGTGGTTAAAGCCCAAAAACATGACCTGATCACCCCAATCCAACATATACATCACTTACTTTGAATCAGAATCTTATAATATGAATAAAGCAGCAACATGAATATTTAGAGACAATCTGGCACTGAGTGGCAGAGGCAGCGGTTACCTCAAGCTTCCAGACTCAGGAACAGCAGAGGTTCCAGTGGTTTAAACAATGTCAGTGATGGCAACTGAACAAGCTACTGTGCCTGTGCCCTGCACCAACAGCAGTCCTATCCTCTCCAAACCAAAAAAGGAGCATGACTGAGGTGAGGCACTGTATTTGGCTATATAACTTCTGACCCAATTTGTTAGCCCACCTAGGAATTCTGGGACCTACATACTCATTCATTTATTCACGTCAGGAACTATGCCAAGTTTGGGATATATAATAGTAAGAAATAACAAACTTGGTCCATTTTTTCATGGAATTTTTAGTCTACCATGAAAAAATAAATTTTAATCAAATAATTACAAAACAATTCATCAGAGTCAACAATGACCTCCACATTGCTAAAAGCCATGATTTATCCTTAGTCTTTGGCTTACTTAATCTATGAATAGCATTTGACATAGTTGCTCAAACCCTCTTCCTTTAGTTTCCAAAACATGACACTCTCTTAAGTTTTTCCTCTTATCTTACTAATTCATTTTCTGCCTAACTCCTCAGGAGTGCCTTAGGCATCAATCCTTAGTCCTCTTCTCTAACTTACTAATTTCCTTGGTGTTCTTATCCAGTCTCATAACTTTCAACACAATCCACTTAATAATGTCTCCTAAATTTTACCTCCTGCTGAAATCCACACTTGTATATATATCACTGCCTCCTTAGCATCTTCAAGTGTATATCTAATAGATATCACACTGTTAATATGTCTAAAACTGAACTCCTAATTTTCCCCCTTAAACTTGCTTCATCTTTTCCCATCATGATTTTTGGCATGTGTCCACCCAGTTGTTCAGGCACAAAACTTAGGAGTCTCCTTTTTCTCACACCTACATCCAAGCCATCAAGAAATCCTGTTGTCCCTATTTTCAAAATGTCTCCAGAAATTAAATGTGTCTTACTACTACCTCCACTACCATAATGATCTGAGCCACCAGTCTCTCTTACCCAGATTATAGCAAATCTCCTGAAGCCAACTTCCCTACTCACAATAGAACAGCTAGAGTTTTTTTAAAACAGAAGTCCAACATGCCTGATATCATCAAAAGCTTCTCATTTCACTCAGTAAAAGTCACAGTCATTACACTGGCCCAGAAGTCCTAAAGTGACCTGGCCCCGTTACTTGTATGGCTTCATCCCTTACCTTTCCCCCTTGGTCTCCAGACATACTAGCCTCTGTGCTTTTCTTCAATACAACTTGACTTAAGGCCTTTGCATTCACTGTTTCCTTTGCTTGACTCTCTTCTTCCCTTAACTATTCAAGTCTGTTCAAAAGTCAAACTCTCAATGAGGCCTATTCTTATTTATTTAAAATTGGAATTCACCTCTGACATATACTTCTATTTTTGCTCAGCATTTATAACTTTCTAATAGCACATTACTTATTATGATAAACATAACTGTCTCAGGGATCTTTTTTTTGTTTTTCATTCCCCAATATATACCAAGCACTCAAACCAATACCTAGCACAATGGTATACTCAAATAATTGTGAAATGAATCATTTTTAAAGAACTGTATGATTCATATGTGAAAAACGTTAGGAAAAAAAATGTCCACAGTAACATAACAGAAAAATGTGAGGGATCCTGATCAACTCTAGAGATCTTGGAAAGTTTCCTAAGGAATACTTGAGAGCTGAAGAGTGAGTAGGAGTTAAAGTGGGCATAGTTCAATCAAAAGGGGAAAAACTCGAAGGTATGTTCTCAACCAACTAACAAATGGAAGCTGAGAATCTGGAATTGCACTGCATGCTGCTCACATAACCCTGAAAATCTTTGTAAACGCCAAAGTACACAAAAAGCCTAGCCTTAAGACTGCTGGTCTACACGAGCTCTCATTCCTTCTTCACTTCCTATTCACTCTTTTGTTTTAATTGTACACTATTTCAGACATACAAGATCCCTTTTCTACTCTGGCTTCTACCTCTCCATTCAAGCAACTCCTCAAAATCACCAATAAATCCAGGTTGCCAAATCTAATGGACACTTCTCTGTCCTCATCTTCCTAGAACTCTGAGGTATTCAAAGCAGTGGCTCACTCCCTCCTATATACACATTTTCTCTTGACTATTATGACATCACAGTCTTCTTTTTCTCTCTATCATTCCAGCTGCTCCTTCTCTGTTTCTTTTGTAGGTTCTTGCTTCTAAATTAGACCCCAAGTACTATAGTGACCAGCGGATCAGTCCTAAACCCTTTTCTCTTTTTCATCTAAACTCTCTATCTACTACAATGCTTAAAATTCAATTGAGATACTAGTGAATTTCTAGGTCTGTCTACTGCTCTAATTTCAAGACTCACATATCCAACTGCTCATTTGATATTTCTCCTTAGATGTCTAACAGGGA